AATGGTTTACTAAACCACTGTAGAGAATGGCTGGAGATTGCTCCTCTCCCCACGTAAGCACGTTCCCCAGGTCCTGGGCAGCAGCCTTCCCCACCTCCCACCCGCTACACAGTTCATCAACCCCTAAGACCAATCTGGTCACTTACTGTCTATGTGCTTTTATTTGCCAGGAACTTTTTGTTTGTTTGCACTTCTAATGGCTCTGGCACACAAAGCTGTCAGATAAAATTCCATCTGTGGCTCATGGAAAGAGCTGCTTCAACGTTGCATCACTGCTGGAAGGAAACCTGAGCTTTGATTAAACTCTGGGGGCAAAGTCCCACTTTACACAACAGAATGCCCACTATGATGCTTGCAACCACTTTCCCATTTCTGAGCTTGAAGGCCCTCAAGTGAAGCATCAAACCGAAGGCTCCCACTGCCCCAGAAGGAGCCACCAGTGCCTCCCTAATCACATCTTTATCCTCCCATTTCCATCATCAAGTTGGCTGAGAACTGAAGGGAAGGAAAGGGCTGAACCGGAATCATCATGCTGAAATGTAAGGTTTGGATGACATAGGCAGCAACATCTAACTATAAGCCAGCTTGGAACATAACCAGAACAAGTAATTTAAAAAAAATTTGTAAGCCCTTTCAGCTATTGGCTGATGCTTCTGTAACATCCACCCTTCTCCAGACTTTTGGCGAAAGAACAAGTTAAAAACAAATGCTTTCAGTTTGCTTAAATGACAGCCCTTGGAAAAACCCAGTGACTGATACTGCACGTAAGGAACACTTGGCCTGAGCTCCCAAGGATAGGGCTGATCCACAAAGCAACTCGAGCAAAACGGCTTTTTTCAAAGATGATGAAAAACATCAAGGAAGGGTAATTAAGAATGTAAGGAAAATGACTGCACAATTCTGGTACGGGATCAGTGCAAAAAGATGCTTAATAGATGTGTGTGTGTGCATGCGTGTGTGCATGTCTGTTTGTGGGTGTATGATGTGTATGTGTGCGTGTGTGTTTGTGGGTGCATGATATGTGTGTGATGTGTATGTGTGCATGTGTGTTTGTGGGTGCATGATACGTGTGTGATGTGTATGTGTGCATGTGTGTTTGTGGGTGCATGATACGTCTGTGATGTGTATGTGTGCATGTGTGTTTGTGGGTGCAGAATATGTGTTTGTGTGATGTATATGTGTGCGTGTGTGTTTGTGGGTGCATGATACGTGTGTGATGTGTATGTGTGCATGTGTGTTTGTGGGTGCAGAATATGTATGTGTGATGCATGTATGTGTTACGTGTCTATGCATGTGTGCTTGTGGGTGTATAACGTGTATGGTGTGTGTGTGAGACAGACTAAAGAAGAAAGTTCTGTCATTATCTCTCCTCCCCCCTTTGTTTTGTTGTGTGTGTTTGTTTTTGAAACAAATGTAGGCTCGATGGCTCGATCAGCTTTTATGTGATGTAGGGTGGAGTGTAAATTCCACCACCGAAGGAAGCCCTTTTATACACTAGGGACTGAAGCTAATTAACTACCATCTGCATTTGACTGAACTTTATCCTAAGTCCTATAACATTCATTTCCAGTTTGGTCCTTCAGACATAATGGTGATTTTACATTCCGATGTCTCCCGCATAATATTAAATCATTTTTCCTTTTATTAATAATATTAATTATACAGCTCCCCAAATGCAAAGGTGTCACATAAGTGCTTTGCTAATGCAGGAAAACGTTCTGATGGACTGCAATAACAGATAAGGCTAAATACTTATATAAAACAGCTAATTTGGCCAAATATTTCATTGAGATGGCTGGGCAAAGTAAATATTAGTCAGACTGACAACTAATTGATTTGGTTTGCATGAAAACTGGACTAATTTAAACAGAGGTATTTCAGTTGTGATTCTGAATTCATAACTGGTTCAGATGTCTATATGCTTTCCCTGGGGCTAAAAGTTTAATTAGAACAGTGAGAAGCCCTCAGCCAATCACGTGACGGCTACAGCCAGGGCTGGAATGTGCCGCTGTTCACCTTCTCTCCCTTTCTTCTTTATTGGCAGGATGCTTTGGTAGTGGCCCTGCCAGGAGCTTATTAAGAAGCTCTGTGTAAAAAGGATTTTTACTTGAAAAAATTAACTGCCACAGCCTTTGCCTAGGAAGCCTACTCTTCCTTCTGTTTCCTTCAAGGAGTCAGCTGGCGACTGGGAATACCTGGCTCTCCGACTCAAACTCCGTAAAACGTAACATTAAGCACACCGAAAACGAGCAAGCCAAGCAGCTCCAATGCTGGGGCGGGGGAGGCGGTGTGCGGATCCCCCCTCTCTGTTCTGCCCGTGCGCTCTCGAATGGGTCTCCCCTCCCTGGCTATGTGGTGGGCTTGCCCTGGCAGACCCTGGGCTGGGCCTCCCTGCATTCCCCAGGGCTCAGGGCCTTGCACCCAACAGATGCACAATTAAAATTTTTGGAAGGAAGGGAAGAGCAGTTAGTTGATTGCCTTTAAAAAATTTTTAAACTTCAAAAAGAGGATGTTAGACAAAACACAGATGAAGTATCATTTTCTGATTTCTACTTTGTTCTAACATTTAAGAAACAGCTTAATTCTTGGAAGCCACCGCGGAAAAGAGCCATGAAGGCCACTGTCCTGGCATCTATTCTCAGAGTTTGCCCATAGGAGGGCTTCCCTGGTGTAGACAGCTTGCTCCTAACTATCTGGTGGTAAAAATTTAACAACTCAAAAAGACATCAGATGAAGAACAAGCATGCTGTCTTCACAGGACAGATGAATTGCTTCCTTAAAGGGAAACTGTGGAGGAGAACTGAAGCAACTTCCTTCCTGGCTTAGAATCTTCTCCAAACTTTGACAGATGATGGGCCACTCTGAGTTCACCTCTTGCCCTGCAGCCCCACAGAACTCACACCTCCTCTATGAGCAAAGTTCTGTACTTCCTCACTGAGCCCCCTCTCGACTCTGTTTTTCACTAGCACTAATTTGGCTTGCCCTCCTCCAAGTAGCCCATTATGTGGGAATAAGCATGCTGACATGCTGGCTTTACTTCCTAGAAGAAAAGATATACCGCCCCCTTGGAAAAACATTCTTTCAAGTTCCATGGTGTGAACAAAAGTAGATGCAATCACAGCACCATATGAGGTGAGCTAATGTACGTTAAAGTGCCCAAGCTCATAATAATCCCTTAATAAAGATGAAGTTTTATATTTTATCTTTATACACACACACACATCCATCCACCCATCCACCCATCCACCCATCCACCTATCCATGCATCCATGCATCCATGCATCCATCCATCCACCTCTAAAAATGAATTCAGAAATAATATAAGATATGGCTGTCTTGTCACACAGCACACTTAGATAAATGAGCTCCATGCTCCATGGGGACCACTTCCTCATGTGCTTCAAATCAGAATACCCAGACCAATGTCCCAGAGAAGAGTAGTGTAGTACAGTACCCAGGAATAAACCATCTCTCCCATCCTCTCCTGCTCAGTCATTACAAAAGAAGCCAGGATTATCAGTGGGGTGGTTTTGGGCGACACCAAGAACCCGTTTCTCCAAGAAAACCTTATTATAAATCCTCTCTGGGATGAGCTGAAATAGTATTGTGTGCTGGTATGGGGACCCAAACTAACATTAAGCACACTGCTTGTAAGAAAAGATGGTTTCTGTGTTCTAAAACTATAATTTACCAATGACCACATTTCTTTGTTGTGGCTGCTACTGCTTTTCATGTGAATTTACATTTCCCTCATAGCTCTGGTGCCTTAGCGGCGCAGTGGTTAACAGCTCAGGCTGCTAACCAAAGGTTGGCAATTCAAATCCAACAACCACTCCTTGGAAACCCTAAGAGGCAGTTCTACTCTATCCTATAGAGTCTCTATGAGTCAGAATCTACTTGACGGCAACAGGTTTGGTTTTTGGTTTCAGAGTTCTAGTTACCTTGTGACACACTATATATTTTCCTATTTACTGTTTCATTTTCTGTCCCCTATGCTGCCTGTTCCATGGGAATGGAAGCCCCATGAGAGCAGTCACTGCTGGGAACAGAGCCTCATGCAGAGCAGGTATTCCAAAAACGCTTGTGGAATGAACGAACTCATCAAAGCCTCTCTTGGTTATTTTAAATTTTTAATCTTACCAAGTATCTATTGACTGATATTTGTCAAATATTAATCTCAAAACTATGCAGAAAGGAAGCATAACTAACTACCCAATAAATATGAACTGGAGTCCCTGGGTGGTGCAAAGAGTTAATGCACTCAGCTGCTAACTGAAAGGTTGGAGGTTCAAGTCCACACGGAGGCACCTTGGAAGAGAGGCCTGGCAATCTACTTCCAAAACATCAGTCGCTGAAAAACCTTATGGAGCACAGTTCTACTCTGACACACACAGGGGCTCCAGGAGTTGGCATCAACTCACAGCAATTGGTTTTAAATATGAATTATATCAAAACTTTTCAAATTACATTTGTTTTCACCTTAAGCATCATACGAATTTTTAAGGGGAAAAAAAGTTTTATTTACTGCACAAGTTTTTAAATTCATGGTAACCATTAAGGTATGTGTTATGACAACCACAAAAACATCCACCTGCCCAATCTCTACTTTCATTATTAAAAAAATCACTTGAAATGCCTAGTGTTTTTTGCCTTTATAGGTAGTATTCACATACTTATCCCCTTGACATTATTGGGTATTTTTTAATTCTTAAAACATATTTGAAATATCAATAGATCTGTATTCACTTGACGGTTGCTTCAAATGAAGTCAAGAATTTAAATTCTCAAGTCCAACAAGACACCCAAATATTTGGAGCATTTAGATGGCCTGATGTATAGCCTCACATCTGTCTTGTTTTCTTAAAGTTGATTTGGAGAAATGATGACTATACAGAGTCATGTTGAAATACAGACGGCCATTTTTAGAACTACAGAGTCGTAAAAAGCAAATGACACTGTAGCCCTCGGGGAAGCCCCCTGTCTGGGGCAGAGGTCTGTACCTGTGGGTCCATCCTGAGGAAGGTATGGGGCCCTCTGCTGCTCAAGGTCGATCTTTTAAATGTTTTGCTGTGATAAAAATGGTAGTAATTTTCCAGGTTTCCAATCTGCAAAACAAGAAGCAGGATATCATCAATCAATACAATCCTAGAAACAGCTTCCACCATCCACCTGTTTGTCGTACTGTGGTGGTTTGCGTGTGGCTGTGATGCTGGAAGCTATGTCACCAGTATTTCAAATACCAGCAGGGTCACCCCCGGTGGGCAGGTTTCGGCAGATCTTCCAGATAAGACAGACTAGGAAGAAAGGCCTGGTGATCTTTTTCCAAAAATTACCCAGTGACAACCCTATGGATCACAATAGAATACTCTCGAATATAGTGCTGGAAGATGAGCCCCCTAGGTCGGAAGGCACCCAAAACACACAGTGGCCACAACAATGGACTCATTCTGTTATACTCGGGGTTACCATGAGTCAGAGATGATTCGACAACAGCTAACAACAATACGAACAGCTTCAAAAATCCTCCATCCAACATAAATCATGCCCTGATCTGAGAGGCACACTCTGCTCCCAGAAGACACACCCTCCAACATGCTTCCTCACACGTATCTCCAGCATATATCCCGGGTTCATGAACATGAAGGTGGGTTTAGAGGCCCCTTCTTAGATAAACAGCACTAAGCCATATTTCAAATGAAGCATAAACGCCACCACATCTCAAGGTAAACTAATACCATTTAGAGTTTTTTCTTTTTTTCTTTTAACTATCTTAGCCACATTTTTTAGACATGAATTAATGTTCATTTATGGTCAGGCATCCTTGAAGTCGCTCAGTTAGTGTCAAGTCAGGTCTACACCAAAATATTCCTTTGTAAACAAACTCCGTCCCTCCACCCCGTGGGTAAACTGAAATATGTAAGAATGAACCCTCGCTCTCAAATGCAACAAGGGAGCCAGAGAAAACAGTCCGGCCATCTGCTTGGGGATTGTGAAAAGGTCAGATGAGAACACCAACTCCCCCCTCCCCCCGGGTGTCCCAATCTCTCGCCAGAGGCGGTGTGTCAGGACAGATTGCAGCCTGACGGCTGGACGGAACCTAGAGAAGCGCTGTGCCCAACCCCTGGTCTGCAGGATGGCTGGCCCTCTGTGGCCCTCTCGGTAGCCCGGGCCTCCCCAGTGACCTGCCCCCACTGGTGGTGATCCTTGAACATCAGGACATCCTTCTCAGGAGAGCTGCTTCTTGTGCTAACCTTCACTGGTTGTGGAGAATAGCTACTTGGTCGCCATACTGGAAAGCAGAGCTTTCCAAATACCTAAAGATGGACTGAGTATTATACAGACTCTCAAGCTGCCCTTCCCAGCCTACATAATCCTAGTTTTTTCCTAGCTTCTAATTAAAGGGTAAATTTAAGACTAACTGTCCTCTAGAGGGTTATATATATTGTGATTATGAGCATGGGTTTTCAGTCAACTAAACCTGTTCAACACTTCCCCAGCCCCATTACCACAATTAGCTGTGGCACTTTTTGCAAGGATATTCAACCCCTGTGAAGCTCGATTCCTTATGCGTAAAGTGGGTATAACACAACTTTTCCCTTACAGTTGTTTTAGCAGGACTAAAATCTACCCAACTCACAGCAAACCCCTGGCCACCCCCACCCCACCACAGCCATTTTGTCTGCTATGACCCGACCCCAAAAGAGTTGACTGGCCCAGCCAGAGACCTGAAGGGACTTGGATGCTGTGAGTGGCCGTTTCTCCCTGTGGCGTGGTCAGCACAGCACATCTTCTACAAGAAAATAAAGCAGGTGTGCAGAGAGACAGACAGCCCTCTCAGCCTCTCAACTGTCCTTCAGCCCCTGCTTCCAGAAATCCTGGATGGCTGCCTCTTGTTCTTGGGTTTCAGGAAATACTCCCAGTCCTTGAAATAAAGAACCTCCTTTTTCACTTAAGCTGCCCCAGTCGGTTACAGTTACTTACAACCACAGAACATCGAATACTACGACAGTCATGAGAAGTAAAATGCATATCATCTGCATAGTGCCTAGTTAGTGTCTAGAACCTGCTTGATAAACGGAGGCTGGTATGATGGGGAGATGAGCTTCCTTCTCTGGTTCCCCTCCAAGGCCCCTCCATCCCCCTCTCTAGGTCTGGGATACTATAGATTCCGTCCCAGTCTGGGTCTGTATTCTAAATAGACCCGCTTCCTGCTGGGTGGCCTGCAACTCAACGTCTCTGAGTCTTAGTTTCCTCATGAGAATAACAACTATTACCTTGAAGAGTTGCTCCAAGATACATACGTGAAAGCGCTAGCAGAGCAGCTGGCAGGTAATAAGTGCTCAATGAACGGTTTTCTGAGATTCTGATTCGCAGTTCATTTTCTACCTCAAGACCTTTTTTCTTCTCCGTAAGCCTGTTTTGCACCTATTGTGACCTATTTTGCACAAAACATTTTTGTTTCTCTTCTTACAGATAAGTCACCTTTATCACTTTTTCAGAAAGGTTAATTGCTATATATGTCACAAGGCTCCCCCTAAATCATGCTAAAAAAACCAAACCCATTGCCATCAAGTTGATTCTGACTCATAGCAACCCTAAAGGACAGGGCAGAACTGCCCCATAGGGCTTCAAAGGAGTGACTGGTGGATTTGAACTGCCAACATTTTGGCTAGCAGCCAAGCTCTTAACCACTGCACCACCAGGGCTCCAAAGGCTGTTATTTATCAGCAGAGGCAATAATGAAGTCTTTACTTACTGACGCCTTTGAGGTATGGTGTTGTCCAAGAATGTTGAATATACCATGGACTGCCAAAAGAATGAACAAATCTGTCTTGGAGGAAGTACAGCCAGAATGCTCCTTAGAAGCAAGGATGGTGAGACTTCTTCTCACATACTTTGGATATGTTATCAGGAGGGACCAGTCCCTAGAGAAGGACATCATGCTTGGTAAAGTAGAGGATCAGTGAAAAAGAGGAAGACCCTCAACGAAATGGACTGACACAGTGGCTGCAACAATGGGCTCAAGCATAACAATTGTGAGGATGGTGCAGGACCGGGCAGTGTTTCGTTTTGTTGTACAGAGGGTTGCTATGACTTGGAACTGGCTTGACGGCACCCAACAATAACAACAACTTAACAGCAGCGTTTAATCAACATGTTTGCTCATAAGCTGCTTTTGTCTCTGGGAGATGTTACACAACTTTTGGTCTTTTAAGTCTAGGCATTCAAATCAATTCCCACTCAGGGTTGTGGAGAAAGAACTAAGAGTTGAATCCCATTTTCTGGCCAAGGGGTGGATTAAGGGCAGAGGTGCTGCCCCTTAGCAGGTCCATGTCAGTGTGGCCCTGGAAGCCATTCAAGTCAGCACCTGGCCTTGGGGCAGCAGAGCTAGCCAGAGGTGTCACATTCAGTCTCACCAACAGCCACCCTTCCCGTCACAGGCTTGTCACAAGGCAGTTCACCCCTGTACCTTGGGGCCGCCATGACCATCCTTAGCAATGGCCCAAAGGGTCTGCACTAATGGAGCTGCTCTTCTCCTCAAGCAATCCAGGGAGGGACCAGATGGCCCCTACAGTGCTGTCCCGGCAAACTGCCTCTGGTGGCAGCAGTGGCCAGAGCTGCACCTGTCTGGAAACTTATGTCTAGCCTAGCATGGGGGCTGAGGTGTCGGGGAGAGCCACTCCCACTGCAGGGGGGAAGAGAACACCAGCCAAGGCTACCCTCCTGCCCTTGCAAAGCCAGCTGCAGAAGCAGCTGGAATCAGTTTCAGAAAAGAGGGGAGGGGTAGGTCACTGACTGGTCACAAATCTGAAGAGGTCCCAAGGGTCCCTCTGAGATTCTGTGCGCTGCCATTGCTCTCTGGTTCCTTACAGAGGGGGCGGGACTCGGGGTGGGAGCTGCCACATTGCCACCTCATGACCACAGATTTGAGAATCAGGCTAACTATAGGCCTCCGAGTTTGAGTGAGGGTTGCTTGATCTTGAAATTTCAGAGGTGTTAAGAGAAAATGGTGGCAAAGTAGTTAATGTGCCGGGCTGCTAACCGAAAGATTGGTGGTTTGAACCCACCAGCTGCTCTGAGGGAGAAAGATGTGGCAGTTTGCTTCCGTAAAGATGGAAACCCTATAGGGCAGTTCTACTCTGTCCTATAGGGTCGCTAAGAATCGACTCGACGGCAGTGGGTTTCCCCATGTAGAGTGAACGTTGTCCTCCTGTGTCTGTGGATGTGCTGTGGTTTGTAAAATACTAATTCATTCAGAATAGGACTCAGCAAACTATGGCCCGAGGGCCAAATCAGGGTCCACCACCAGCTTTTATAAGTTAAGTTTCCTTGGAACGCAGCCACACCTACTCATTTACTTATTGCCCAGGACAGCTGAGTAGTTGCAAAAGAGACCATATGGCCCACAGAACCAAAAATATTTACCACCTGGGCCTTACAGAAAAGATTTGCCCACCCATGATTTACAGCATTAGCTGCTGAAAATATTCTGGGATCCACCAAAGACTCTGATGTTAAACAAGGGTTCTCTAAAGGCCGGGAACTGCCAGTCCATACGCGGAGGGACTGTTTTACAGACACAGGTGCGCCTGTAGTTCTAGGTCACGGCCCCTCCTGACACCCCCAAGGTCTCCTTCAGTCACCAAGTTATCTTTTCTCTGTGACCCGTGCCTGCCAGCATCCCAGGAGGTCATTCCTTTTCCTGCCTTTGGCTCCCGTTGCGTCAGGTACAGGGCAGGAATGTGAGGTTTTCATCATAGGTAAGGGTCAGAAAGGATCAAGGGGTGGTGAAGCAGGAGGCGGGAGCACCCCAAACAGGCAGGCGACCACATGTGGGACATGTCCTGTGAAGAAGTCCTCGTGGCCTTGGAAGATACAGCATTTGATGTAATTCTTTCCTGCTCCCTGCTCCTTCCCCACCCAGCTAACTCCCCACTCCTTCCCCACCCAGCTAACACTTCTCAGGTTCTCACCTGACCCACCACAGCAGTGTCAACCCAGGTAGGTCCTTCCCCTACTTAGCAAGTTGCTCCTTAAGCCCTCTGGGTGTCTTCATGAGGCAGGACAGGATGCCGGGCTGGGTGGCTCCAGCCTTGGGCAGGGT